AGACCTAAATGCCAGAATTAAAGCCATGGGACTCTGCTTTTTTTCTTTTTGATATAGAATCTCACTGTGTAGCCTTGACTGACCTGGAACTCACTATGTAGACAAGGCTATTTCTGAATTTACAGAGATCACTGCCTCCAAAGTTCTGGGAATAAAGTCACATGCCATCACATCTGCCTTGAAACCATAAGACTCTTACAAGAAAACATAGTAAAAGCAAGCTTCTGTAGCCAGCATATCAGTGGTGCATACCTTTAATCCCAGCACTCAGAAGGTAGAGGCAGGTGGATGTCTGCCTTCAAGACCGGCCTGTTCTACATAATGAATTTCATGATATCCAGAGCTGCACAGAGAAACCCTTTCTTAAAAAAAACAAAATAAACAAAAAATACAAACACTGGTGACCTCAGGTTCAGCAAAGTTTTCTTAGTGATCGAAAGCCAAAGAACAAGTTGGAGAGTTGTCATCAAAGACTCATGTAGGAGGATGGAGAGATGGCTCAGCAGTTGACAGCATGCATTACTCTTGCAGAGAACCTAAGTCTAGTTCCCAGCACACATATTGGGCAGCTCAGGGGGATCTGAACCCTGTTCTGGCTTCCAAGGGCACGCTCCCACAGTGGGTGCCCAAACCTATACACAGACACACATGCTAGACACTAAAATAAATAAATAAACAAAAGCATAATATCTATACATGGTGTTTTGTCTCCATGTTGTAGAGGCTAGAAGAGAGTGGAATTCTATGAGATGGGAGTTACAGATGATTGTGAACCTCCATGCGGATGCTGAGAACTGATACCATGAAGGCAGGGGCTAGATGCCATTACAATCACAAGTCCTCTGGAAGAGCAACCAGTGCTTGCAACAACTGGGCCATCATTCCAGCTCCCCAAAATTGACCTTAAAAAATCAAACCTTTGTGTTTCAAAAGACACCTTCAAGAGAACTAGAAAGAAAGCCAAACATGGGAACACACGTTTACTAATTTCAGCACTCAGGAGGTAGAGGTAAGAAGATCAGGAACCTAAGGCCAGCCTGGGATACATGAAATGCAGTGCCAAGGATAGAGACAGCCCATAGAATGACAGAGAATATTTGCAGGTTATACAATAGGTGAAGGACTCGCAATGAAGTGTTGCTTTCTGAAAGGCTGTTGACAGGTGATTGGTGATTATATAGTATGCATATATGTATACATGTCTGTATATGTGTAGGTATGAGCCCTTTATATTATATTATATATTATATCCTTCATAAGATATATAAAGGACTCTTTTTCCCCCAAGATAGGGTTTCTCTGTGTAGCTTTGGAGCCTGTCCTGGAACTCCCTTTGTAGACCAGACCTTGAACTCACAGAGATCTGCCTGCCTCTGCCTCCTGAGTGCTGGATTAAAGGCATGTGCCACCAAGCCTGACATAAAGGACTCTTAAAATCAAATAGCCAGGGGCAGCAAGATGGTTCAATGGGTAAAGGAGCTTGTCACCAAGGCTGATGATCTGAGTTCAATCCCTGGGACCCACATCATAGGAAGAGAGAACAAAACTAGAACTGTGATTAAAAAAAATCCACAAATAACCCAAAACCAACTACAAACAACCGTATTAAAGATGGTGAAATGGAGGAATTGAATCTTAAACAACTGTCTGCCAGCTATGGGAATATAAGGGTTTGTCACCTCCTCAGGGTTAAAACAGAGTTGGTGGGCCATGTGGGTGCCCTCCTTGTTCTTGTAAAAGATCCACCTTAGCATTATGGGACTGGTAGAGTGTTCCCTCTTGGTGGTGGATGTATTAGTTACTATTGCTGTGATAAAGTATCATGGGAAAAATGTTTTTGGAATTTTATGGCTCAGCATTCCAGTTGTTTCAGTCCATCACAGAGAAGCAGGAGGATGCAAGGCTGTTTGTGGTAACAGGAGCCAGGCTTGTTCACTGTAGCACAGGCTACAGGCCGGAACCTATACTCTGCAGGCCAGACCTCAAGTTCTAAGGGCTCCAGTGCCTCCAAACTAAAGTCACAAGCTGGAGACTGAGTGTTCAAAACATGAGCCTGTGGAGGATACTCCAAACTCAAACCACAGGTATTAGGAAATGTAGGACATCAGTCCTCACCCATTCAACACAGCCATCCTTTATCAACTGCTGTGGCTTCAAGTGGGACAGCTTCCCATTTCTCCCCAAAGTTCCTTCTTCTTTCTTCTTATCTGGAGAAGCAAGGTCCTGAGAACCCCATGTTGGGTTTGGGGGTCCCTGTATGTGATACACATGTCTCCTGCCTGGGCACCATGGCCATGACAAGGCACTAAGACCCATGTAAGAAGCAGCTGCTCTTCCCGCACACTGAACACCCACATGTGCATGCTCCACATACATGTGCATCAAACTCCAGGCACCACTGTGTGCAGCCACAGATGAGTGTAGCCCCATACTGAAGCCATGTGTGCACATGCATGTACGCACCACTGTCACTATACTGTGATGTTTTGAAATGACATGTTGCCTGCTGAAGAGCTGATGAGAGGTGATCAGATCCTGGGCTGGGAACTAATTAGCAGACTCGACAGAGTCATAATATCATGGTATTTTTAAGAGACAGGGCCTAGTTGGGGAAAGAGTGTAGAGGCATGCATGAGGCATGCCCTGGAAAGATATTGTTCATCCCTGACCCCTTTCTGTTGCTTTCTCTGCTTCCTGGTTGTAGTGAAGTAAGAAGCCATTTGTAACACATTCCAACCACCTCCTGACTGCCTTGCCTGAGGCAATGAGCCACGTAACCATGGACTAAGCCCTCTGAAACCATGAGCCAAAATAGATCTTTCTTCTTCAAATTGTTTGCATAGGGCACATTGTCATAGCAAAACAAAAACAAACAAAAAACTCCAAAAAACAAAACAAACAAACAAAACCCAAACCAACAAAATACACATGTGTTACTTGTACACAGTGAGGTAGGAAGACGTGTACACACTAGTATTTGTATTGCTATATGTGTATCACATTTCCATGAATACACAGGATGGACTATATATACACATATACACATACTACAAGCCATTTTTGGTAAACCATATCACTCTTGGAACCCTAATTTCCCCTGTATACAGCAGTGACTGTTCCTGTGGGTCCTGTGATAACTGTATAATTAGCCTGACTCGAAGCTCTGAAGTTGCAAGCTGCAATTACTTTCCCATTTTATAGTTAGGGACGCTAACACTCCTGGGAGTGAGCTGATGGGTGAGACAACCAATGGTGGGTCATGATGTTGGGTGAAAGGGGGTCAGAGCAGCCATAGGGTCAGGGCTGGTGACACGATGTCATTATAAGAGGTGCACAACTAGCTTGAGAATGGAGGTTGATGGAACCGAATGGAACCACCTTGACAACAGACTGCTGGAAGTGAAAGGCAGGGGGTCAGACTTCAGGGGCAGAGTAACTGCACCCCAAAGGCCCCTGGCACTGTTGTCTGCTTGACCTGACTGGAAGAAAGAATTTAAACACCTTCATGGTCACAGGGAGACTGCCACAGGTGCCCCAGCCCCCTCTCTACAATGCTGCTGTCCTTAAAGACAGTGTCCAGTGTCCATGCTTCCAACCCAGACTTCTATACCTCAAGTGTGGGAACAGCCAGCAGATGCAAAAGGTTGGGGGGGTTCGTAGAGGAGATGAGTGCATTTTTGCCTTTGCAGCCTGAGTCTGAGTGGCTCACAAACCACATGCAGCCATTGCTCACAGTTTTGGCCTACCCACTCCACTTTGCTTCCACAGAATTAGGCCAAAATGCATTCTATATGTGTATGAAAATGTTCTCTTACTGGGCAGTGGTGGCACATGCCTTTAACCCCAGCACTTGGCAGGTAGAGGCAGGTGGATCTCTGTGAGTTTGAGGCCAGCCTGGTGTACAGAGTGAGTTCCAGGACAGGCCTCTCACAGAGAAACCCTGTCTCAAAAAAAACAAACAAGAGAGAGAGAGAGAGAGAGAGAGAGAGAGAGAGAGAGAGAGAGAGAGAGAGAGAGAGAATGTATGCCTAATGAATAAAGGAAAAAGAAAAATTCACAGACAGCATCATCCTATACATTTTTAAATTTACATATAAAATTCTAAAGTGTGCACACACACCATGTAATGGAATAGTATTCAGCCATTAAAAGGGATGAAGCATTGATGCGTGTGGCAACGTAAACGAACTTTGTAAACCTCACACTCAGTGAAAGGAGCCAGCTACAAAGGGCCACAGAGTGCATAATTACACAGAGAGGAAATGTCCAGAATAAGAAAACCACAGGGGTAGGAAGCAAACCAGTGGTTGCCAGGGGCACCACGTAATGGGTTTGGGGTTTCCTTTTGAGATGATGAAAATATTTTGGAATTAGAAGTGGTGGTGTCACAATTCTGTGGGTGTGCTAAGTGTGCTGAGATTGTATGTTTTAAAATGATGTAAATTATATGATTTTCCCTTCTTTCTTTTTTTTTTTAGGCATGAAAGCTCTCATTTGGTGTGTGTTCTCTCTCCTTCTGTCCCCCTTTCTCCTCCATGTCTTTGTCTCTCTGATGCTACCTCTCTGTCTCTATCCTGAGTCCCAGAGGCCACAGAAAGAAGTCAGCACCTCTCTTGCACCTGGTGCTGAGCCAGCCTCACGTGGACCTACATGTGGATGGGATGCACCATGAAGCAGAGCCAGCCCAGCCCCTGACCCCCAGCAGCAGGAGGTCAACACATGGTAATTATTGCCTTAACCACTACACTTTAGGATAATTTGCTCTTTGCTAGCTGCTAACCAACACCCAGCCCTCCTGCTGTTTTTTCTCCTTTCCAAACCAGCACAGGAGCCCCAAGCTCTGCCTCCCCAACACTCTCCAAGCCTCTCCCACCCTCTGGGTCCCCCCTCCCGCCCTGCCCGCCCAGAGGCCCTTCTGAAGCATTAGTTGGGAGGAATCAGGTGGAGTTTGGAAGCCCTTGTGATGCCCACATAGAGATGATCTTAACTGCCCATGCTACCTTTGTCCAGAACAGGGCCAAAGATTGCCAGGCTGTTGCTGACAGTCGTACAGTTCCAACGCCGGCCTCGGAACTGGTGCTGGCACTCCTGGATGCCAGCCTTGACGCCTTCAGCCACGCTGGGCATGATCTCCACATAGTTCCTGCAGAAGCGCAGTTGCTTGGGCACCAGGCCTGGGATGCTGGCACAGAGGATGGGCTGAGTGCTCAGGGAGGAGTACTGGGGTCCCACAGCCAAAGACCTGGTGGGAAGACATGGAGATTAGAGACCATCTCTGGAGACAGACACTTTGCTATGTACATGTGCTGGGCCTGTTGCTGCTTCTGCCATGAAGGACACGTAGAGACATGGTGTTGTTGACCATGTTGTAAGGAAAAAGAGCCAGCCAAAGAAACACACCCTGAGCAGAGCCAAAGAAACACACTTTGTCCCTGCAACCAGAACCAAAGAAATGCACCCTGACCCTGAAACCAGTGCCAAAGGAACACACTTTGTCCCTGGAATCAGAGTCAGTGAAAGAAATACACCCTAGCCCTAAAATTAGAGCCAAAAGGCTAAGAAGGATCAGTAAAAGAAACACACTTTGGCCCTGAAACCAGAGCCAAATCTGACCATAAACCTGTGCAGAAAACTAACCAACCCCTGAGCAGGAGATCTAGCCAGTCTGAGCTCAGGGATTGAAATCTGACCAATCCCCTCCCTGGAAAAACTCTGCCCCCTATGAATCCCTATATAAACCCTGTGTCTGTTTAGCTTGTGGGTGTGTCAGCCCAGCTGCCAGAGGGCAGCCACTCTCCTGGATTCTTCCCTCCCAATAAATCTCTTGAATGAGGTTTGGGTGAAACCTTCTTTCACTGGAGCAGAGATGACCCTGGGTGGAGCACAGTAGAGCAGGGCTGTGCCACTTCACTGGGGAAACTTTCCCCTGACAAGTGAAGTTGTTACACTCTGCTTTCCCAGAGACCAGAGCCGAACTATAACAACTTTGCTAAGGAAACCCTCTCCTGTCGCAGCAGAGCTGATACACTGCCGAAGTCTTTCCCTGAAGCAGGGCTATAAGCTGCTACGCTTACTGTGACCTATAGTATTCCTTGGCTCCGGATTACCAGAATACTTTTCCATCTGAGCTATAACACTCAGTATCCTTTGACTCCCAAGTGTCATCACCATCATCCCACTTGATCTGTCCAAATGCTTACACATGTACCTAAGATGAGGATTAGATGTCAAACTATTACAATTGGCTGTGTGCAAAAACCAGCTCAGCATCCTGCTCTGTAGAGGTTCGGAAACCCTCAGCCAGTGGCTCAAGCTTCTGAAGGCACTGGAGGATACAGAGACCAATGGAGAGCATAGAATGAGGATGGTTGCTAAGGGGACTCAATGGATGTCAGAGCAGATGGCACTGACTGGCTCAGGGTCTTCCCTGAGGAGGGGTACAGCCAGACCCAGGGGAGGGAGAGACACTAGCACCCAAGGCAGGGTATGAAATTTGTACCAAATTAATTCCTTCCAACCTTGGACTATTCACCCCAAAATATAAAAGCAGATGTCCTCAAAGTGTGAGTAGGGGATGGGGAGAAGCTGTTGGTGAAGTGCCTGCCAGGTAAGCATGAGTCCTGAGATAGGATCCTTAGCACCCATGCACAAACCAGGTTGGCACACATCTGCAACCATAGCACTGAGGGTAAGGGGGCAAAGAGACAGCCAGTCTAGACAGTGAGCTCTGAAGTCAGTGACAGACCCTGTCCTGAAAACAAAGGTGGAGACTGACAGAGAAAGACATCCAACATCAACTTTTGGCCTACACACACACACACACACACACACACACACACACACACACACACACTCATGCACACACAGCATATATTCAGATCTTTTGTATGAAATAGCATGGTATTTACACTCAGTCTACATACCCTTCTGTACATGCCAAACCTAGATGATAATGATACCAACACAATACAGTGTCACACTGTACTTCAGGGAGGGCTGATGCAGGAAGTCCACACACGTTCAGCACACATGCAGTGATTTTTCCAAAGATTTCCTTTTTTCCTATTTTTTTGTAGTTTGTTTTTTGGTTTTGTTTTGTTGCTTGTTTGTTTCATTTTTCAAGACAGGGTTTCTCTGTGTAGGCTTAGCTGTCTTGGAACTCTCTCTGTAGATCATGCTGGCCCTGAACTCACAGATTCCACCTGCCTCTGCCCCCCGCCCAGTGCTAGAATTAAAGCTGTGGGCCACCACACCCAGTTATCATCATCATTTTTAGAAACATTCACTATTAGGGCTCATTCTGTAGCTGAGACTAGCCTGGGACTGGCTTTGTAGTTCAGGCTGGAACTTAATGATCCTTAGACTCCTACTGCTGGAATCACAGGCATCACCACAGCCAGCTCTTTTGAACCACAACTTAAAAGAAAGACCTGCTAGACCCTTGGGGACTGATGATGCAGGAAGAACAGAGTCTTCTCATGGCTACGGCTGCCACAATGGCTACGGCTGTCACAAATGATGCTTACATGCCATCAAGCACCTCCAGTCCCAACTCACAGTTTCCAGGTCCCCAACACATCCATCCCTGGGCTCTACTCTCCATAGAGCAGGTCTCTCCTATCTCCTGAAACACTCAAGAAACCCGTGTCACACATTGCCACATGCCTGCCCTTAGTGCAGTCTGCATTCCTGTGTGCACCCCATGACAGGGAGGGCCTGCTCTTATGGGCTGGATGGGTAGATTTCTTACATGCACACCTGTTTATGATAGGCCCACATTCGTTGGAAGGCCAGTCCTGGTGCAGCTGGGGCCTGCATCTGCTCTCAGTAGCTGTCTTTAGTCTCCAGGCCCCTGGACTCCCTCTGCGTTTAGTCTAGCTCAAAGGGGCCCTCTTCCCTGCCTGCAGTAGAATCAGCTTGTGTTCTCCTCTCAGGTGCAGACCATCTTGGCTGTCTGTATGCCCCTGCTAGCATACATGGACCATAAGAGCACCTTTAAGAAAGGGGTGAGCAGATGCTTGGCAAAAAGAAAAAAAAAAAAAAGATCACTGTCCAAGGTCCTGGCTTGAGGGCCAAGATGCCAGCATATGGAGAACACTGGGATCTGTGCTCCTTGTCCTCAAGGATGGGAAAGAGGAAGGGCCTGGTCAGGTTCCCAGAGTAGAGAGAACGAGAGACTAAACCAAGGAGGAAAGCCACTGCTGTGCCAAAAGCGGCTGACCACCATAAAACCAGAAGGTCCCAGCATGTCTTCTCAGGCCATCGGCTGTCTTCCGGGAGGACTTTATCTCTCCTCAACTCTCCTCTGCACCCTTCCACCACCCATGATGCACCCACACTCACCCTGAGACTCTCCCACCTGTGAGGAAGCAGAATTTCCCCTTGGCCTGGGCAGTACTTTTCGTTCTTTTTCTTCTTTCCTTTTTTTTTTTTTTTTGCTTGGTTTGGTTTGGTTTTTGAGACAGGGTCTCTCTACAGATCCCCAGCTGTCTTGGAACTCACTACATAGACCAGGCTGGCCTAAAACCCTCAGAGATCTATCTGCTTCTGCCTCCCGAGTGCTGCTTCTTTCTTCTAAAAAAAGTATTCTGCCGGGTGTTGGTGGCACACGCCTTTAGTCCCAGCACTTGGGAGGCAGAGGCAGGTGGATCTCTGTGAGTTTGAGGCCAGCTTGGTCTACAAAGTGAGTGCCAGGATAGGCTCCAAAGCCACAGAGAAACCCTGTCTCAAAAACAACAACAACAACAACAACAAAAAAACCCCATTATTTAATTTAATAGCATGGGTGTTTTGCCTGTGTGTTTGTGCATCACCACACTTGTTTCTGCAGTGCAGGGGATCAAACACAGGGCTTCATATGTGCTGGGTATTCATTCTACCCACTGAGCTACGTCCATGGCTCCCAGAGAAGGGATAAAGGCATCTGCCTATCCATCCAAACGAGGAACAACCTTCACTTCGGGATACAGTTAACTAGGAGACTTAGAGTAAGAGTTTCTTAAATAGCAGAAAACAAGAGCCTGGTCATGTCTGTCTTCACAATAGGAAATGTCCAGGGCCAGTGGCCAGTTCCCAATAGTGGGTATCCTCCTTTGTTAGATGTCAGAAGCAAGGGCCCATTCTGGGTTAGGAGATGAGCTGCAGAACAGGATGCTGCAGAGTTGCATAGCGGTGACTCTGCTGCAGGTGGCATGGAGTTGTCAGACCTCTCTTCTCACCCCCAGGGAAGGCAGAGAGGGGATTCCCAGGTCAAGGGTTTCTCCCAGCCCCCTTCCTGGGGATACTGAGTCAGCCTGCTCTGTTTCCCCTCCTCTGGGCAGGTCCCTAGGAGGTCACAGTGTGAGCAGTTCCAGCAGGATTCTCCTGCTCTCCCTCATGGATTTAGGGAGGTAGAAGAGTGCCTTCTCTGGACCCTTAAGTCCCTTGAATCACAGCCTGGATCATTTCTCGTTTCCTGAGAGGTAGACCATCAGGAAAGCCCAGGCATAGAAGCTGAGGGCTGAGCAGTAGTACCTGTTATGATGGAGAAGGCAGGGCAGGGTCAAGGAGGATCATTCAGCATCTGGAGTTCAACTGGACTGTGATAGTCAATCTAGTTTTTTTTTTTTTGGTTTTTCAAGACAGGGTTTCTCTGTGGCTTTGGAGGCTGTCCTGGAACTAGCTCTTGTAGACCAGGCTGGCCTTGAACTCACAGAGATCTGCCTGCCTTTGCCTCTAAATGTATGTGCCACCATGGCCCAGCTTTTTTCCTTCCTTCCTTCCTTCTTTTCTTTCTTTCTTTCTTTCTTGCTTGCTTCCTCTCTTTCTTCCTGTTTTTGTCTTTTGATCAGGTCTTAAGCTAACTTCCAATTTGTTAAGTTGCTAAGGATGACCTGAAATCTTCATCCTCCTGCCTCTACCCGCTGAGTGCTGAGATCACAGGTGTGAACTATGTATGTACTAGCAAGCACTCTACTAACTAAACTACATCCTGGAACTCACTCTGTAGACCAGGCTGGCCTCAAACTCACAGAGATCCACCTGCCTCTGCCTCCTGAGTACTGGGATTAGTACAGTTAAACAACAATTTACTGATTTATTTTTTCTTTATGTTTTTGAGACAAGGTCTCATGTATTCCAGACTGTCTCCTACTCCAAGGATGATCTTGAACTTCTGATCCTCTCCAGCACTATTTCAAGTGTCCTCCCAGACATTTGACCAATTTACCATTTTCTGAGTGTCTCTCTCCTCCATCTGCTTCT